TACAACCAACAACCCAGACTCTAACCCAAATAAAGCCGACCCAATAAAAGGAATACTCCAAAAACATAAAGCGCCAACTCCATATCCTCAACAGGTTAGAAAAAATCCAGCACTCCCAATCCAAAAACCCCCCAAACAAACCACAAATAAACTCTTCAACAGAGCACTGAAAACCAACTCAACATGAGCCTAAACATGAGGCAAAAAACAAATTATTTGAGACTAACCTCAACGCTACCCTGGTTCAAACAAACCATTCTCTCATCCCCCAGATTTTTATTACTAGCTTCAATCGCCACTTTCTTCATTTTGTAATCTCCTTTAGAATTAATGACATAATTAACCCCAAACGAATTAACAACACTAGGTCCTGGGTCATATTGTAAAACAGAATCCGGACCACCTGTACCAGCCACAGATGAAATAACCTGATGTTTCGTTGTGTTATTCTCTAAACTGTCTACCAACTCATTGGTAATATCACTTAAAACATCAAAGCGATTCCTAGAATTACCAGCAATATTTTCCTTTTGTATATCCATGCTACCCATGCCCTTCTCCTCTCTTTTCTCTTTTCTACTCGGATTCTCACTACTTTTCCCATTATGCCCCTGCATGACCATGTTTGAGACCATGTTTCTTAACAAGATATCCACAAACGTTTTATAATGAATAAAAGGTAAGTCAAACACATATATCTAAAACCCACCAAATATTCAGCACAAAATCTGGCTAAATATTCTCCAATTAATAAAAAAAATCTGAACCTAAATTGAAAACTTCATCAATTTATAACTTTTTTTCTAAAACAAACCTTAACAATTCATGTTCCACTACGTCTGCCCATCGGAAATCCTTTGTCGATCACTTTATTTCCATCTCAGCACCCATAAACTCCAACGGTATCATCTGTGATTTCCTTCTACTGTCATTGTTTAATGAACCCTTCAACGTTCCTTCGATGTTCAATTGTACACGATACGATCCAAAGCGCGCCTTGCATTCTGCTTAGGTCAAGAATCGATATTCACAGATACAGTTTCAACGTCTCCATCGACAATCACAGTGTTGTTTTACTTTTTTATCCTCATTCTTTACATAAACCCTTTTTTTATATTTAAACTTATTAATAAATAAATATACATTTTTAACTTAATTTGACTAAACATATATCATGAAAATGTGTCTTTTTGAAGTAAATAAATATTATAATTATTAAATAATCACATTCTCTATGACCTTTTGATGACGATTCGATACATCTACAACACAAATGGTAAACCCAAACTAAATAGTTGAGAAGTTTATTCCTATATTATATTTTTACGTTTTTTTAAAACCCGTGAATCACATAAAAATAAAATATACCCTCTATTCTTTTTTTAATAGTCAAACTTGATTTTTAAAATGTCTTTACGATACACAAATTTATTACAAAAACACATATATACATTAAATGATTTTAAGTATAGTTATCTTAAAATTTTAAGATAACTTATGTTTAATATTGAAATTTGATCTTTTAGATATGATAAAATAAAATTGTTAAAATAATCTTTGAATTGGTTGTTAGGCAAAAAAAAATCAAAGTAAAAGAAATAAATAAACTTTTTATAAGAATCACTATAGTTTGATTTTTTGTATTTTTTTTTTGTTTCCTGGTTTACCCAATCACCTTCTAAACAAGGATGGTGAAATAGGATCCATCGCTTTGGAATAGGATCAAAGAGGATAGAGTGAGTGGAATATGTATAGAACTAATTTTGGGATTGACACAGTATGAAAGATCTTTTAGATGTACATATCCCTCCGGGACTTAAATAAACCTTAGTTGAAAAAAAAATTATTGATGGACCAGAAAGAAATTATTGACCTTGATATAAACTTCCTTTACTTCGTAACCTTAGCTTTAGATGTCCTTTCAAAGGCAGGCGAACTCGGACCAGTGCAACAAAGTAGGACTAGTAATGAAGCACAAAGCTAAAAAGGAAGTGGGAAAGCGCCCGACTGCGAAGCTGACAGAATTTTTTCAATCTACGAGTACGCCTACGAGCTCTCTCTTTTTATGGCAGAGATCTCTCCACACCAAGGAACCAAATCACAATGGATCGAACAACTGAAAATGATAACAGAATGACGCTTATTCCATGAAAGAGGAGCGCAACGGAGTCATGAACAAACAAAAATAGCCACTTCCTTATCTACGCTATTGACTTTCCTCCCCTCGTGAGAAGTAGCAAAAAACCACAAAAAGTTTGTTTTATTTTAGATTTAACAACTAAAATTTTGTTTTTCTATAATAGGCATTGTATTTTTCTTATTTTTCTATCGTTTTTTTTTATCGAATCTTATATTAAATTTAAATATATAAATATGAATTCATTATAACAAGTCCACGTCCATTTATCCTTATTAAATATAAGCTTCAAATTGTGGTACATTAACAATTTTTTTACACGTACCTATTTTTATAATGTGTCAATTTTACTAATTCATAATATATACTAACAATTTATATAACATTGGTTTATTATAGTTTTATTACAGGATCTATTGTTTTTATGATATAAACATCGTACGGATTCAAATGATTCTAAAGACCGGCGCAAACAAAGAAAGTTATATTTGGATAAAAAAAATCCAATGTTGTGTCCACCACTTCAATTGATAATTCTTTTTCAACATGTCAATTTTGTTTTATTATAATTACTTTTTTTATTTAACTTAATTTATAAAAATATTGATTTATATTATTGAAATTTGTATTACACATAATCAATACATTATATTATTAATCCGGTAGAGTATTATATATTAAATGTTGTTTTTCCTTATAAAAATAACTACTTTACCGTATATAACATATCTATAAAAATAACTTAATTTATAAAAATAACTACTCTGCCGTATATAACATATCTTGTAGGTAACAATGAAAATATAAATCCAAATATTTTAGGTGGATATCAGTATACAAGTTTTCACTCTACTGTAAACTTTAATGCTACAAGTGTATTATCAAATGATGCTAAAGACAAAAGAAAACTTAGAAAGTTATATTTGGATAACAGAAGATCTAATGATACAACCATGAAGAAGCCGCACGGTATATCTTTTCCTATCATGCATTTTAATGCTATAATAATAGTGTTTTTACACATTCCTGTTAATTTTGATGATTATTTTCTTTTGTAAACCTTTTGCAACATAAACAATGCATTTCTTTATAACACTCTTACAATTTCATATTGAATAGTCCTCATGATCAACATTGATTTGATTTTTTTATTAATTTTTTTAAAATAAATCCTTTATATATCGTTTTCACAAATCATTTATCCTTATCAACATTTAACCACTTCAAATTATTTTATTTATCTTGCAGGCAACAATGAAAATATAAATTCAAATATTTCAGGTGGATATCAGCATACAAGTTTTCAATCGACTTTGGCTTTTAATATTACAAGTTCATTATCCAATGATGCTAAAGATAAAAGAAAACTTAGAAAACTATATTTGGATAACAAAAAATGTAAAGATATGACCACCACGCCAAATGGTATATTTTTTTTTCTATCATGCATTTATAATTAGTTTGCTAACAGAGTATTGTTTTTACATAATATTTTTAATTTTGTTGATTAGTTTTATTTTGTGTTAATCTTTTGCGACATAAATAATGCATATTTCCTTATAACACTCTTAGTATTTCACAAGTAATGGCCATCACGATCAACATTGTTTTGATTTTTTAATATTTTATTTAAATAAATTTCTTATATTTCGTTTTCGATGATATAAGTATGCATATATTTTTTTCTTCGTATATATGTTAAGTTATAAATATTTTGAGGGTTATAATAACTTTTTTCTTATATATTTTTCTCAGTGCTTACTAATGACAGTAGCAAAAGTCAAACCCTGTCATCAAGCAAGTTCAATAATGTTGTCGGTGACAGTCAAAATGTCAACCCAAACATTTATAAAGATAAGCAAAAACAAAGAAAATATTATTTGGATAATAGAAGAGCCATTTAGACTTGCACCACACCAAACGGTAATATGCTATATATTACATAATTTATATTTCATCCATCTAATGTATAATTAATTGTGTAATAATATATTCCTTTGTTTATTATGTATGTTTTATTTTTTTTATAATAATTAAAATATTTTTATTTCATAGCGTATATGGAGTGTGCTCATCAATGTTTCAAATTTACTTCCAATTATACGACAAGAACTCTGTTATCTAACATTACCAATGGTATATCTAATTTCTTTTCACATCAGTTTTCCTACTATATAAGTTACATAAAATAATATGTATGCATTGTGTACAATTTAAATCATACTATTATCCTTTTTATTTCAAAATTCAATAGTAACATTTATACTTTCAATGTCAGGAAATAGACAATATTCTATATTGTCTAATGATATGACAGCCACATCTTCATCGGCAGTCACTTGAGATAATTCTATTTGTTTATCTTTGACAAACAAAAAGTCAAAAAGGAAGATCTCAAATATATCTCATATACCCATAGACTTAACATCAGATGAAGATTTAAATGTTCAGCATAATCATGTTCAATTAATTCCGGGTATCTCAAAAGGTAACACTAATGATTATATATAAACTATTACTCATTTCAAGAATAATGTATTTATATCTTTAATCAAGTTTATTTAAACAGATTATTTCGACCATGGTGATCAGAGTTTTGTGTGTACGAGTTGTCATGCAAAATTATGGCAAAATGAAGCCCGTAAAGACAATAAAGATGGCAACAAAACATCTTTTTCAATGTGTTGTGGTAACGGAAAGGTCGAGCTTCCTGAATTAAAAGAAGCACATTTGTCTTTTCAATTCGATGTTTTCATTTACATCGTATGAAGATTACCAAAATCTGTATCGTTCTGTTCATCCCAAAGGGAAACAATTTTTGAACAACATTCGTCTTTTCAATTCGATGTTTTCATTTACATCGATGGGTGGAAAAGTTGATTCTTCTGTTAACAAAGGCAAATGTCCATATATTTTCAGACTTAGTGGTCAAAAGTACCATTGTATGGGCAGCCTTCTACCAATAGATGGATCAAAACCAAAGTTCTCTCAACTATACATATATGATACTGACAACGAACTTTCAAAGAGACAACACGCTTTCAGGTATATTTTCATGTCTATTTTTTATAACAATCCTTTTTTTTTCATTATACTTATTTACCTACTAAATATTACATATAATCGTCATTATTAACCGTACACAAAAAGATGGGTGCAAATCAACTTCTTAGCAACTTGATATCGAAATCATAAGATTTTTGAAGGTTATGTTGGATTCAACAAATAAGTTGGTTAAGTGTTATAGAATGGCAAAAGATTGTTTTAATGCAAGTCCTAATATAGATCTAAAGTTACGTCTTATAGGAAGAAGACAACAAGACGGAAGGATATATAACCTACCTACCGCTTCTTAGGTTGCTGCTTTAATTGTTGGTGACATTGGTAATTCAATTGATAATGGAGATATCATCGTAACAACTAAATCGGGCAGTCTACAACGTATAAATGAATTGCATCTTGCTTACCTTGCTCTTCAATACCCACTGCTCTTTCCTTATGGGGATGATGGATATCGAGTTGACATCCCTCATAGAGGTGTTACGTGTTCAACGAATAACAAACGACGTAACTGTACAATAAGAGAATTCTTTTCTTATAGGATTCAAGACAGAGTTAATATTTTCTCATTAATTCTAAATTCAAGAAGGCTTTTTCAACAATTTCTGGTTGATGCTTATACGATGATTGAAAGCGAGAGATTGTATTACATACGCAACCAACAAAAAGTTCTTCGATGTGAGTCCTATGAAACTTTACGCAGCGTGAAAAACAATTGAAATACAGATATTTCGAATATTGGGCAGCGTGTGATATTGCCTTCTTCTTTTACTGGTGGTGCACGCTACATGATGCAGAACTATTTAGATGTCATGTCACTTTGTAAGTGGTTTGGCTACCCAGATTATTTCATAACTGTAACATGCAATCCAAAGTGGCCCGAGATTCAAAGGTTTATCGCTGACACAAACCTCAAACCCGAAGACAGACCGGATATCCTAGCTAGGTTGTTCAAAATGAAACTAGATTCATTGATTAAAGACTTAAAGAAAAATTCATTATTGGGTTCGGTCGAAGCAGGTAATTTATATTAATAATGCATTGTTAAAGTGTTTTTATATATTTTGTTAATATGTTTTTTTTTTTTTTCAAAATCTTATAATATGTCTCTATGTAAATAAATTTTCAGTTGTTTATACGGTGGAGTTTCAAAAGCGCGGCCTACCTCATGTTCATATATGTCTATTCATACACTCTGATTACAAGCTCCCAACCGTTGAACATATTGATTGGGTTATTTCTGCTGAAATTCCAAACAAAGACGACGATCCATAATTGTATGCATTTGTCAGCGAGTTCATGATGCATGGTCCTTGTGGTAGTGATAATCCTAAATGCCCATGCATGATTGATAACAAGTGTTCAAAAAACTTCCCAAAGACATTCACAGAGCATACTTCGGTTGATGAAAATGGTTATCCAATATATAGGAGACATAATGATGGATCTTTTGTGGAAAAGTCTGGTGTTAAGTTAGACAATAGAAGTGTGGTTCCATATCACAAACTCCTCTTGAAAAGATATCAAGCTCACATTAATGTTGAGTGGTGTAATCAGGGTGCTTCCATCAAATATTTGTTCAAATATATTAACAAGGGTCCTGATAGGGCTACTGTTGCAGTTGTACCAAGCAACAACGCAGATGATAATGATGATGTAGTTGACGAAATAAAAAACTACTATGATTGTAGATATTTGTCTGCATGTGAAGCTTCGTGGCGTATATTCAAATTTGACATTCATTTCAGGACTCCTTCTGTTGTGAGGGTTCCTTTTCATCTTCCTGGACAACAAAATGTTGTATACGGTGCTGAAGATGATATTGAAGATGTCCTCAATAAACAGTCTGTATCTTCTTCGATGTTCTTAGCTTGGGTGGAGTGTAATGAACATAATAAGGAAGCACGCAAACTTTATTATGTTGAATTTCCTACCAAGTTTGTTTGGAAATTGAAGGATCGTTGTTGGAAGCCAAGAGAAAAAGGATTTTCTATCGGTCGAATTCACACTGTCTCTCCTAATGTCGGCGAAGCATATTTTTTGAGAATCCTTTTAAATAAAGTCAAAGGTCTGAAATGTTTTGCAGACATTCGTACGGTTAATGGACATGTGTGTGCTACTTTTAGAGAGGCATGTTATGCTCTTGGACTTTTGGAAGATGATAGGGAATATATTGATGCAATTGAGAAAGCAAATCATTCAGGTTCTGGATATTATTTGTGTTATCTATTTGCAACTATGTTGAAGTCTAATAGTTTGTCGAGACCGTACTTTGTCTGGAAAAAACCTGGCAATATTTATCAGATGAAATTCTCTACAATCAACAACTAAGATTAAAGGCACCAGGTAATATGTTATTTTTCATTATTTAAATTAATGTTTTACTTAATAATTCTTACATAATATATTATATTTATTCAATAAAATTTATTATATATTTTTATATATTTAACTAAATCTTATTAACCTTATTATTATCAGTAAGTTTTAATTTTATATAGTTATATATCTATAAAAATTAACTTGCAAATTTCTACAGGTTTATCGCTTGATGAGGATCAAGTTAAGAACTTGACACTTTATGAGATTGAAAAAATTTTACTCCAGAACAATTCAAGCCTCAAAGATTTTGATGGAATGCCTTACCCTGATCATGAGTCTATATATTCTTCAAATAATCGATTGATTACTAAGGAGCTAGATTTTGACAGGACGAATCTATTGCAAGAGTTTTATCAGCTACTTGGTTCATTAACAGATGAACAAAGAGGTGTTTTCGACAATATTATCACAAATGTTAAAAAAAAAAGAAAGGAGGTGTCTTTTTTGTTTACGGTTACGGAGGTACAGGGAAAACATTTCTTTGGAAAACATTATCCGCCGCTTTAAGATCGGAGGGTGAAATCGTGTTAAATGTTGCTTCAAGTGGTATTGCTTCCTTATTATTGACAGGAGGTAGGACAGCGCACTCTCGATTTATAATCCCTTTAAATCTTACCGAGGATTCGTTTTGTTCTATAACGCCGGAAAGTGATATTGCTGAATTGTTAAAAAAAACATCATTGATTATATGGGACGAAGCACCCATGATTCATAAGCATGTCTTTGAAGCTTTGGATAGATCTTTGAAGGATATATTGGGTTGTCATCTTCGTAGCAACTCAAAATTGTCATTTGGAGGAAAAGCAATTGTTTTTAGAGGTGATTTCAGACAAATTCTACTTGTTGTTCCTAATGGAAGTAGACAAGACATCGTCAATGCTTTAATAAGTTCATCCTATATTTGGTCAAATTGCAAAGTCTTAAGATTAACAAAAAACATGAGGTTAAGTCTTCAAACATCTAATATTAAAGAAACAGCCACATTTGCAAACTAGATTTTGAATATAGGTGAAGGAAAGGTTGGTGGCTTAAACGATGGCGAGGCAATTATTGATATACCAGATGATATTCTCATTACAGATTCATCGGATCCTATTGGTTCATTAATTACATTTGTCTATCCTTCTATTGTTGAAAATGCCAATAATCCGATGTTTTTTTCAAGAAAAAACAATCCTTGCACCGAAAAATGAAGTTGTTCAAGAAATGAACAATCGTTTGTTATCATTATTTCCTGGAGATGAAAAAGAATACTTAAGTTCAGACACTCTTTGTCAATCGGATTTTGTACACGATGACTTTGACGAATCTTTATACTCTCCGGATGTTCTAAATGGCCTTAGACCTTCAGGTTTGCCAATTAATAAATTGGTATTAAAAGTCGGTGTTCCGGTTATGTTATTGAGGAATATTGACCAGAAATACGGTTTGTGTAATGGAACAAGGCTGCGAGTTATAGCATTGGGTATGATAGTTCATACCCGCAAAGGTGATGGTTATTTATTAACTGGATACCTGATGCATTTGGAATCCAGTTTTATAAGCAGCAGATATGGGATGAAGTTCATTCGATAGACATCCCATGGCCATCCCTATGAGAAACATAGATTAAATTCATTCATATATCAACCGTGATTTGTAGGGGGCAACCAACCACCCATGTAATCTCAGCCATTGATTATTTGATCAAAGAGCCTAAGATTGTGTTTCACACACTTGTCACCACTATTCAATTTCTGATTTGATCTTGGGTTACTTTACTTAATTGTTGTGTCATCAACCAACATAAACATAAACATAAACCTAAAAAAAATCTTGAGCAAACATGCAAATAGGAAATAGCAGTTAGGTAAGTAATAGATGCTAATATATCATATCATATATCATGCACACAAGCTAAGCTAAGCTAAGCTAAACTCTCTCTCATATCCCCTTCCACTCTCCAAAGACGCATATTATGAATCTGGTTATAGTAAGTAGTAACATGCATTCACGAGAGAGAGAGAGAGAGAGAGAGAGAGAGAGAGAGAGTTGATAGTAGGTAGGTAGGTAGGAGATCCTAAACAAACAATTTATACTTACTCAAGTGAAACTCCTCTTAAGGTGTAACTGGGGCAGGCTCAGTACCTGAGACATGTGAGGCAGCATCCTCTTTTGATATGGCGACATAGTTCAAAGGAGCAATTGGTCTGGCACTGTCTCTCTTGCCTGACCTACCACCTGCACCTGCACCTCCATTTTGGTTCAAAGAAAGCCTTCTGTTAGGTGTTCCATTTCCATTACCATTCACACGTGGTCCCACCACCTTCTTTGTACTGCTAAGTGGTCGTGCCGGGCTTGGTCTTGAACCGAATATTGCTTCTTGTTCTGTGTTTAGCTGTTCATGAAACTTCTTCTGGTCCTGTAGGTAGGTAGGTAGGTAGTGTCACAACTCACAATTCCAAAACCAAATTGACTTTTTGACTACTACATTTTATAGTAATAACTAGGATTTTCTAACCCTCATTCTTCGTTTCTCTTCTTCTCTGTCATGCCTGAGTAAAGCATATTCGTCTAACATCGCAAGGAGTGGAACACCGTCATATGCAAAAGTAAGTCCGTGTTCCTCTTCCCATGCTCTGGTTTTCCCCACCAAAGTCTCCACAAGACCTGCATTGCATTGCATTTATTTTACTGTTCTATCCATCTAAAATGCACCAAACACAGACATAATAAACCTAAAAAAAGTCAATAAACCACAGCAATTTTAAAGAGTAAACAACATAAAGTGTTCCTATGGTTACAAAACCAAAAAGGTTACGCATTTGGTCCTCGTCCTAAACTTTTCACCTTTTTCGTCCCTGTCCCTGAAAGCAAGTATTGTAATCCATTACATCTCTAGCCAACCCAAGGATGACTACTCTACCCCTATACGATTTTTTCAAAAAAAATCAAATAAGGGCAAAATAGTCATTTTTTCATCAGCTTTGGACTAAAAGGGTTACAATCCATATTTGCTTTCAGGGACGGAAAAAGGTTAAGGATGAATATTTTTTGCATAACCACAGGATGATTGTCAAATTTATATTATAGTAAAAATCTCTGCAAAAGGTCGAATAACTCTAATGCAAGCATTGGATAAAAAAAATTAACACCCATGCCAACAGAAACAAAAAGTTTGGCTGGCATATTACCCGGAATTTTGTTGACCAAAACTCTGGCCTTTTCTGCTCGCTTCAGATTTAAGTGTGCACCTCTGCTTGCATTATATCTGTTGTCATCCTGTTATGAATATGAAGCCAAAAAATTAAACCATCAACATATTTCAGCTATTAATTTTTCAGGGTTAATTTGCAAAAAAGAAAGAAAAAGATTACCCTATTGTAATCATCAAGCCAGCTTTCTTCTTCACATGCTGACATCCACTTCTCAACTTTATCCAATATATCTTTCCTACTGATTGCCTCTTCCTTGGCTTTTATGATTTGATTATCCATGTCTGCTAGCAACTCAGAAGGCTCGACACTCCCAGAATCAATCAGCGCCAAAATTTTCTCTCTAGCAGCTTGCGAGTTGATCTCAATGTGTGCATGTGCGAAAATCTCTTCAAGCTCACCTTGCCTCTTAAATGCAATCTCTTTCATTCTGCTAAATTTAAGCTTATCTAGCCTTTCAACTTCCACCTCAGCCTACATAACAAAATCATATAATGTCTTATGAATTAGGTATTACCAACCACGCTCCTTATTTTCTTCTCTAAAGAACAACTAAAGGGTTTTTTTTTTCCCGTTGACTTCTGTATGGCTGAATGGGTAATGATGTCTATCTGGATAAAGTGCAAGGTCTGTTTCTTTTGTACACTTTATAAACAATCTGAATGAGACTATATGACCATTTTAACTTTACATTCCAAAAAACAAATTTCACAATATTCATCAATTTTAATGTGAGATGGGTTGGGAAGAACAAGAATTGAAAATAGCCGTACATGGTTAGTGTCTTAATACATTAAGTCAGTTTTTTTTTTTTGGCTTAACCCCTTGAGTCATTATGTTCGAATTAAGTAAAAAAAAAAACAGCCGTGTATAGCTGTCCAGATTAACTGCTTAACCCATTAAATAAATCAAAAGGAAACAATCCATATATTAGTATTTTTGATACCTGTTCAATCAAATCAAGAGCAAGAGCCCCTGGGACAGTTACTTCATCCACTGAAGCTGAGATGTTACAAGTAACATGATCAAACAAACTACGCTCTTCTTCAGAAGTATCCATCAAATTCCAAAGATCAATTAGCTGAGTTGCTAACTCTTGAAGCTGCAAAACAGAAAGAAAAACATGTCATAATATGATTTTAGGAGAGACATAAGGAGGTGGAAAATGGCATTACCTTCTTTAACCTCTGCTTCTTATCTTCTTTTAAAGCTATAACCGTTTTAGCAAGCCTAGCTAGGGTGTCATTGCTTATGCTTTTGGACCCCACCCCAGTTGCATCATCTAAGCTTGGATGCACCTCTGTCACTGTACTGTAGAAATCGATCCCAACGACAGCACAAAGGTCATGTACAGTGCTAACAAGTTCCAGGACCTTGTGCAATCTATCACTCTAACAAAAATCAATGTTACTATCAGTGTCAGTAGTCTATAACTAAACAGATGACTGACTAAATGGTTGAGGGTAAAATTGTACTTTCTCCTTCTGGAGCTCTTTTAACTGGTCATGGAATTCTGACAATTTCTTCAAGGATAAGTCAGACTCGTCAACTTTTGGGCTTCCTGCCTGCTGATTACTACTCCCTGCAATTTCGCCACATATTTTTTGTATTTGTGTTTGTACATCTGAGAAATCCTTTATCCTCTCTTCCTTCTGCTTCCACAATTGTTCTAGAGCTGGTGCAATAGCAGCAAGTTGTTCCTTAATGGTTCCTGATGTCTTCTCAGGCTACATATAAGTCAACATGATATACAGA